TCATTCGCATCCGCCGCAGTCTCAAACTCGACGTACCCAAATCCCCTGTGCTCTTCTTTTGCTCCTGGTAAATCTGGTTTTGGGAGGTTGACCTCGACGATGTCTCCGAATGGCAGGAATGCGTGGTAGAGCGTCTGTTGCGTTACGGCATGATCGAGACCACCAACAAAAACTGTCGCCTTCAAGCGTGAGGCGTCTGATAATCCCGACATAGCTGCCGTCTCAAGAGTCGTGTTGCGAAAGTACGTGCTCGTCGTCTGGTTGGGCTGAGACTTTGATATCACGTGGCCTACGCGAGCGATCTCGTAGCGGGACCCACCTGCCAAGGCGATGATGTCCAGGGAAGGACAGGTGGATGCTATGGTGAAGCACAGCGCTGCCTTGCTCGAACAATTCCAATTGCCACCTTGCGAACCCCTTTGCTTCCACTTGTGCTTCCGATAAATACTCTCCAGCGATTTCCTTGTGCCCTCAAATTTTGTTTGTCCTACAAAAGCAATCGCTAATCTGACGCCTCGGTGCGATCACCGCCCACCATGGTCCGCCTACGAGAGATCCCACGGACGGCCACATTTGCTTGGTCGCCAGGCCCAACGCAGCCGTTGATTGCTACGGGCACAAAGGCTGGAGCTGTCGACGCCGACTTTTCCAACGACACTCAATTAGAGCTCTGGGAGCTTAAGCTTGATGACACGGAGCAAGGCGTTGAGCTTCAGCCAGTCGCTACAGTGAACGTAGATTCAAGGTACAGTTGGAGCTATGCATGTTGCAGCTCCAAGTGGCTAATCGTAGCCCAGATTCAACGACATTGCCTGGAGTCAGCCTTCCGAGCAGCACCCGCGGGGTATAATAGCTGGCGCACTCGACAGCGGTGCATTGGTGCTATGGGATGCGGAGAAGCTGCGGACAGGATCCAGGTGAGTACACGCAATACAAGGATGATTCAACAAGCTAAAGTAGACAGCGACGCCCAAATCGACCAGATCGATAAACACACAGGGCCGATCCAAGCCATACAGTTCAACCCATTCCGACCGAACATTCTCGCCTCCGCAGGCGCCAAAGGCGAGCTTTACGTCCACGACCTCGACGACGAATCAAAGTCCTTCCGGCTCGGAAAAGCTGGCGCGAACCCCGACGAGTACACCACACTAGACTGGAACAAAAAGGTTGCGCACATTTTGGCGACAGGAAGCAGCGGAGGATTTGTGACAGTCTGGGACGTCAAGGGCAAGAAGGAGAATCTCACTTTGAATCACTTTGGAAGGAAGACTGTGAGTGCAGTATCGTGGGACCCGGATGTTCCCACCAGGCTGGTCACCGCAATCCCAACCGACCAGAACCCTCTCGTACTGGTGTGGGATCTCCGTAACACGAATGCGCCGGAAAAGACACTCCAAGCACACGACCAGGGTGTGCTTTCACTCTCATGGTGCACACAAGACAGCGATATCCTGCTCTCTTGCGGCAAGGACAATCGTACTATTGCCTGGAACCCGCACAGTGGAGAGCAATTGGGCGAGTTCCCGGTGGTGACAAATTGGACCTTCCAGACCAGATTCAACCCTTCGAACCCCAATCTCCTCGCGACCGCATCGTTTGATGGAAAGATTGCAGTTCAGACCCTGCAAAACACCGGAGCCACAGCAGATCAGGCCAAGTCGGCTACGCAAGCACCAGAGGGCGAAGACTTCTTTGCGCAGACGCACGCCGAGCCACAGGGCGCATCCTTCTCGCTCAAGGCACCTCCAAAGTGGCTCAAGCGCCGTGCAGGTGTTGCATTCGGTTTTGGAGGAAAGCTTGTGCGATTCGGAGTTGTTGACTCCAAGTCAAAGATTACCATTTCCACGTTTGCGGTGGACTCGAACATCAGCCAGGCCAGCGAAGACTTTGACAAGGCCTTGGAGCAGGGCGACTTGACATCAATCTGCGAGTCGAAGATCGCAAAGGCTTCCAATGACGAAGAGAAGGCAGACTGGACTGTGATCGAGACTTTGACCTCCGAAAACCCACGTTCAAAGCTCGTGGAGTATCTTGGGTTCGCCGATCAGACCGAGGAGGCACCTGCAGAGGTCAAGAAAGAGGCGCAGACGAACGGCGATGCTGAAGGCTCATCTTTCTTCGACAATGCGACCGATGAGGGCAACTTCTTGTCAGACCTCGCAGCTTCAAAAGGCGCCAAGACGAACAACCCTTTCCAAGTATACACTGGATCAGAGTCTGAAGCCGATACCAAGATTACGCGTGCACTTATGCTCGGAAACTTCGACGCTGCTCTCGATGTATGCCTGAAGGAGAACCGTCTTTCTGATGCTTTCATGATCGCCATTTGTGGTGGTGAGAAGTGTGTCGCTAAAGCGCAGGCTGCGTACTTTAAGAGACAGTCGGATGCTCCAAACTACTTGCGTCTTCTTGCTTCCGTGGTCGGCAAGAACCTCTGGGATTTTGTCTACAACGCAGACTTGAAGGACTGGAAGGAGGTCATGGCTACTATCTGCACTTTTGCCGATCAGGCCGAGTTCCCTGACTTATGCGAAGCCCTCGGTGACCGACTAGAGGAGGCCATTGCTGAGGGCTCCGGCTCATACCGAAAAGACGCGTCCTTCTGCTACTTGGCCGGATCCAAGTTGGAGAAGGTTGTGGTCAACTGGGCCCAAGAGCTTCAGGAAAATGAGAACGCTGGCCTCGAACAGTCGGACGCTGACAACAGCTTCTCCATCCATGCTCGATCGCTACAAGACTTCATCGAGAAGGTCACCGTGTTCCGTAAGGTGACGCAGTTCAAGGACGCAGAGCAGCAAAAGGACGCGGACTGGAAGCTGGAGCCACTGTACGCAAAGTATGTCGAGTATGCAGACATTGCGTCGGCGCACGGTCAACTAGCTATTGCTGAGAAGTACCTGGATCTGCTCCCACCGAAGTACCCCGCAGCCGAAGTAGCCAGGAACCGCGTCAAGCAGGCCACGAGGAAGGGCACCGCACAAGCTGCTGCAGCTCGTTCAGCGCAGCCTGCCGCAGCCCAACGCGGCCAACGCGTGGTCCCAAGCTACGGTGCTGCTCCTGCACAACCGCCGGCACCAGCGGGACGGACTGCTTCGCCTTATGCTCCAGCGAACCCTCTCGCCGCACCCTCGACATCGACTGCTTCGCCGTATGCTCCTGTCAACCCGCTATCTGCACAAGCTCAGCAAGCCGCGCAGCAGCCGCCAGCTCGAAATGCATACACACCAGCTGGCTTCACGCAGCCATCGATCCCACAGCCTAACTATGGAGGTTACGGTCAGCAACCAACTCCTGTAGCGCCGCCACCACAAAACTTCTCCAACACTCCTCCCATCATCCCAGCAGCAAACCGTGGACATATCCCTGCTTGGAACGACACGCCTGACTTTGGTCCTCCCAAGTCGAACTCACGTCGTGGTACGCCTCTCAATGCAGTAGCGTCGCCATTCCTACAGCAGCAGAACTATGGACCTCCACAAGTAGGATCTCCTGGTTTTGCACCGCAATCGAGACCTACTCCACCACCTCCACCAAAGGGTCCGCCCCAGGGTCCTCCTCGCATGACGTCGCCGCCCCAAGCAGGCAGTGGTCCCACAGCACCAAGTCCGTACGCTCCTTCTCCTGCAGCGAACCCATACGCGCCCCCACCGCCGAGTGGGTTCGCTGCTCCACAGCCAGCTCCTGTAGCGCGCGGAGCTTCCCCCTACCAGCCTCCATCGTCAGCAGCGCCGCCATCAAACCGATACGCTCCTGCCCCAGGATCACAACCTTCGGCCGCCCCTGGAGGCATGCCGCCCCCTCGCAACATTGCACCGCCACCAACTTCGTTCACGCCGGGTGGTTCCTATGCACCGTCGCCATACGGCCAGTCACCAGCTCAACCACCGCCTTCTGCGGCTGCGGCGCCTCCACCACGAGGACCTCCCCAGGGGCCGCCACGATCAGGGCCTCCACCTGGTGGACCTCCTCAGGGCGGACCACCAAGGGCTGATTCGCGACCTGGTACTGGGCAGTCACAGCCCGCCGCACCAGTTGCTGCTAAGCATCGTAGGTACATTTCTTGATTATTATAGCAAACTGCTAACTTTATTCAGCTCCCGGTGACCGTTCACACATCCCCGATGCATCACAGCCCATATATGAGATCCTTGGAGCTGAAATGCAGCGCGTGAAGGCAAAGGCACCAGCGCAGTACAAGCAGCACGTTGCCGATACTGAGAAGCGTCTCAACATCTTGTTTGACCATCTCAACAATGAGGACCTACTCAAGCCCGACACGATCCAGCAGATGAACGAGCTTGCGAGCAACATTCAAGCTAGGCAGTACGACAACGCATCTGCCATTTTCTCGGACTTGATGACAAACAAGAACGATGAGGGGAGCAACTGGCTGGTGAGTTGTCTGTTGTTGTTTGCTGTTGAGCATAGTGCTAATCAATTGATAGGTTGGTGTCAAGCGGTTGATCCAGTTCAGCAAGTCGACGCCTGCTTAAAGAACGCTGCTGTCGACGATTGTTTGACGCACATAATGAAGCGTGAGGTAGATGTCAAGCCTGAGACGATTTGTGTATTAGCGTAGTATGTTTGATAGAAAAAGACACTGCGATGAAGTTGCTGCGTCGTTTTGCCGTATCTGTCGTGATGTGGAAGAGCAAACATAATGAGGCAGTGCTTGCGTACGGCAAACCCCACAAACAATAATGGTATCACATCAAGAAGCTGATCAAATTGAACCAAAGATCGTACTCGTAAGCTAGGACAATCAATCAGTGCCAGGACAATTTGCGGTACCATCCCAAACGTGCATGAAAAGGCTAAACCCACGTGATGTCGGCGAAGCCCATCAGATCTCACCGATATTCCAACTACCCAAACTTCCACCCGGCCCGTGCGCAAATGCAAAAAACGGGTCCCTCAACACAACGCCATGGTTTCTCAACGCAAAGGCTGGAACATGAAGCAAAAATAAGCCTGAACGCTCCCACGAAGCAAAAAGATGACTCAGCCGAGGTTTGAACTCGGGACCTTCAGTGTCCGAGGGCGAGTGCCTTGTTAGACTGACGTGATAACCAACTACACCACCGAGCCAGTTGCTAGGTTTGATGGAAGACTTGATCTTTACATAGTATATATAACCCACGCAATGGAGAGTAGAGTGAGACTAGGAAACATGAGAGTGAGAAATGCTGTCTTGCGTGCAAGCGGAAGAAAGAAGGTGGGGTAAATTGGCACGAGCAAACTTTTTCGTGACTTCCCCACTTCGTCGGGGCAAGCGCGGAGGACTCTAGAATATCTTTGATGCAAAGGCATGTATACGTATATCACGTATAGCAGAATGAATTCAGTGATTGTAGTCGAACTCGGGAGAGTATTGACGATGTTCGGGTAATTCAAAGACACGTTTGCACGGAGAAGCTGGTTTTCAGTGATGCATCGCAATAGCCACCACCTGAATTCCCACAGCTTGTCGAGGAGGACTACAACGCGTTATCGTTGATTAGAGCTATAGTCATACTAGTTTGAGGCACAGCAGGAGTATACTCATACCTATGTTTTTTTCTTATAAATGGATTGCACTGTAGGCCTCCTGGTTTGGTTGTAGGTTTTTATGTGCGAAGCGTCACCAAAAACCAGCTCCTTCGCAGTGTGGCTTTGCATATATCATGGCTGAATCTTGGACTATGTCATATTGACATGCAATCTTCCCTGCGGAAGTTGTACTTTCCCGACACGGAGCGCGAGACGATATGTTCGTTACAGACGAGAGGTTCAGTGGATTCACTCGTATAAACTCTTTGACATGTAGCATTCAGTACTCATTGCCGCACAAGCACATTACTGGCAAATCCCATATGTTACTACTTCACAGCCTGGCCTGCCGACCAGGAAATTGATATCTGCAACATGTGTCGTCACACGGCCAGCCTCTCGAGCATCCCCTCGAGCTCACACACCACGTCATTATACACCGCCGTTTGCAAGCTCTTACTACTAAGCTTCGTGCCAAACCCAAAATTGCATTGCAAACACTTCTGCGCAATCTTCTGATACTCAGGCCCTAATGGCGCTCGACCTTGTGCGAGTCGTCGTGCAGTATATACTTGGTCTTGTTGATCTCGCGGAATCATCTTCTCTTCGAGTGGCTTCCAGTGTGCAATTTCAAGAAGCGCAACGCCAAGGAAAAAGAGCGGAAGATTGTTGATGCCGTACTTGATCTCGTCGCTGACAGTGTCGGCAGTGTTTTGGATGCCGTCCATGGTTTGAGTGTTGTGGTGCGCTTGATCGGGCCATGAGATTTGAGAACTAAGATGCAGGGTCTTCAAAGCGGTGGGATCCAATGTTTGCGCATTGTTGAAGAAGCTCATGTTGTTGAGTCGCCATCGTTCGGCTAGCCATGGGGTATCGTTGTACTGTAGTGTGGCCAGGGCAGCTTTGAGGGCCAGTCTGAGCTGATCTTCGGCTTCGAGGACGTCGTCTGCTTCATGTTGCATGATGTCGAATATGGTGTATACATTGGTCTGATCTGACAAAGCCTGTACCTTTGGAGAGGTGAGATCTTTGTCTCTGAAGAAGAATTTATGTTTGTATTTATGACATGGGGTATCTAGATACCCGAGGCATTTCGTGGGAGTATTGTGATCGACCGTGCCTAACGTTCGCCGCAGATAGTGGCAGATGCTCTTTGTCTGGCACAGATCGAAATCCGGCAAGGTAATTTGTGTGATGGGTGTCATAATGCGAAGTGGGGGGTCTGGGATGGCATCTGGATCGACGAACTGCACCCGCTTCTTCTTTCGACTACCAGGCTCTTGTATGGGATCGGAAGATGCTTTCTTCTTCAAACTTCTTGGACAATTACTCGCTATGAGTTCTGATGGCAATGTGCTTCTTAGGCTTTGCATGACTTGCGAAGGTGCTGAATCAGGGACTGTGCTGGTCATCATAGACTGTACGTATAACCAGATGGGAGGCTCAGAAGCAATCCTTGAGTATGGTTAGCACCCGAACTCCCTGGCGCTGGTATTACTTACGCTATTGCATCAACACTTGACGCTTCATGACAAGATATTGCAAGATCAAGTCGTACTTCTGTTTGCACCTCGGCATCAAGGCAAAGTTTGGCATAGTGTCCACGATGCTTACTATCATCACAACACCAGGCGCTACAAAGAGCTTCATGAAGCTTTTGAGATGCGCCCTGGATAGCCTGAAAGCGATCAGGCAACGCCTTGTGCTGCACGAGTGCATTTATTGTGTTCGTGGCCTGCAGCTGAAAAGCGCATATTTGGCTTCGTAAGGTCGTCAGATCGTCGTTGCGATCGCGCAGGTCTGCGAGACATCTTTCGTATTTGCTCTTGTTAAAGGCAACTCGAGTCGCTCCGCGTAATCGTTTGAAAGTAGCCTTCAAAGTCTCGCCCTGTGGGATTGGCATGAGTTTAGTGTAGGACGGTGGAAGGCGGCGAAAACACACCTTGCGCTTCTGCGCTCTCAGATCGTCGAACTTCTCCAGCTCCACCTTCATTTCATCAACGACATCTTTCGTACCCTCAACTATGTCGCGACAAAGGTCGAAGCTGTCCTTGAGTACGACATTGAGCTTGTCGTTCAATTCTTTGCTCGTCCAACGTCGATCGCTTCTGTCTTCTAGCATGTCTTCGGTGGCTTTATCGTCCTCTATCAGGCGTAACAACAACCTGCAATGGTTCAGGAAGATTCCATTCTGCACGTTGAGCTGAACAGAGATCGTTTTGACTTCTCGAGAGTAGTGTCGAACTGTACGTAGGCCATCTGCAACGGTAGAGTACGACTTTATAACTTCGATCAATATCGGCAATACGCCAAACGCGAGGCCAGCAATTTCTATGCCAGACATCGCGCACAGTGGAGTTTAAAGCATGTTCAAGTTTCTCTCATCAGGCTGGCGCTTGACGGCTGATGTACGTGTGGATTGCTTTCTCAGCCTCATCTCCTCACTGCACTGCCCCGCAGGACCTGCTGCACTCAGCCTCCGCACAATCAGCCTTCTGCGACCGCTTTGCTACCTCGCCACACCCATCACCATCAGACTGCACCTCTTCTCCATTGTCTATGACTCTCAGCCCGCTAGAGACGGTGTTCATTCGCAAGTAACACTAGATCATGCGCGATGCAAAGCAGTGCGAACACTAGCCTCGATGACCATGGACAGGATATCCTCTTGTCGTCCCTCGAAAACATGGCACGTTCGTCGAAATCTACAGAAAGCGCTTCACCGACTCGAACGCTGTCGATGGCTCACCAATATGTAACAGGAAACGAAATCGAGCGATGGCAAGCAAGCGCATCCACTGAGTTCGCGAGCGACGATGAAGGCATCGTTGCGCGCCTGTTGCGGTCCTGCATTGATTCAATTTCCCACTTATTGCTCTCAGCGCAACACACTTCTGTTTGCAAAACCCTACGACGAAGTCTCTCTATCCTGAAATTGTGGTCCATGGGTCACGGGGCGTGGGACGGAAGGCTGGACGGCATGTTGGAAAAGTCAACCGATCTGCGGCGGACTACCCTCTCTGTTCTGATACCTTTGTGTAAGGCTCTGAATAACGGTATGATTCTACTTTTCCGTGACTAGCCATTTCTTGCTCACAACCAAGAAGGCATACGCAAGCATGCTGATTTAGGAAACTCTGCCACGGTTCTGCTACAGGAACACAATAGCCGAATTTACAGTCAAACAAGATGGCTCCTGAAAGAGACAGATGTGTATATCAGTGACAGTGATAGCGATGGCTACAGTAGCAGCGAAAGCGACAGCTCTGCCACGGAAGATCGAGGCGAAGGTATCGAATGTTTGGTCGAGGACGTCAAGATGCATGTACAATGCTTGAAAGATCTAAGCAACTCCCTTGAATCTCCGGCAATCGATCCCGAACCGACCGACGAGCCCAGTGTGCTCAAGGTCCAACAACGAACTGCCCACGACTACCATGTTGACCTCATCATAGCCAAGTTTCCTAAAGCTCAAACGGAGCTAGCTGAGTGCCTAGGTAGAACGAGTTGGGATCGTTATCAGCGCATGCAACAGGAACGACAAATCAATGCCAGCAATATTACGGGTCCCGCACTAGAAGAAGAGATGGTTGCGTCTGCTCCAAAGTCTCGCTTCGCGGATTCGGAGTTCAAAGACTCAGGACTCGGGACATCTCTGCCTGCACCACCCACACGTTATGCTGAAACAGTAATATCCTTCATGACTAGTATCGCTGGCGGCAAGCGGGTTCAGATTCCTCCGCTTCCCTCAGAAGCTAAAACCGGGTCCCCATTTGAGTGTAATGCTTGTGGTCGACACATTCGCGCCACGAACAACCGTGAATGGCGGTAAGTGTATATGCTCTGAACACATCATACAATCTAACAGATTTAGAAAACATCTCTATCTTGATCTCCAGCCCTACACGTGTTTGTTCGCTGGTTGCGCATTCAGTGCTCAGCCTTTTGCAGATCGACAACTCTGGAGCAACCACTTGGAGTTGGATCACCGGCTTGGCCCAGACTGGGGAAGCGTCGCGTGCCCCTTATGTCTCGAGTGGACAGAGTCTGGAAAGAGTAAAATGCTGATTCACTTTGCAAGACATATGGAGGACATTGCACTTGCAGCATTGCCACGTGAAGTTGATGACGAGTCTGGTACTGGGACTGACGACTCATCTCAAAATTCATCGAAATCCTTGCAACTATCCACCGAGGACAGGAACATACAGGAAGAAAGACGACCAAGCCCAATGCCTGTGGGCAATTCAGTTACCGAACATGCAATGTCCCGTCCTGGCACCAATAATGATGTTAGTCTAGGATTTGCTGGGTCCAAACCGGGGGTGCGGGAGCTTTGGGATAGGGGCTCGTCCCAACTCCCAAATGCCAATGTCAACAGAAGTCATCCTCTCATGATCAGTACCACTTTCAGCAGTTGTCGTTGCAAGGTTTACGAGCTTAGAGAAAACGACTGGCACGACCGCGGCACAGGTTTCAGCAAAGTTATAGAGATAAGAGAAGCTCACTGGAGCATTGTGGTCTGGTCCGAAGACGATAACCTTGACGATGATCGAAGA